TATAGAACCCATGCCAAATGTTTGTCAAGAAAAATTTATTACATTATCTGAATGAGGTGCTTATATACAGTACCTAGATAGAGGGTGCACTGAAGTTGGTGGAGAAATTTGCTAATTAGAATTTGCCAAGAGCAATCGAGCAAGGTATAAAGATTGAAGCAATCATTTTCAATGCTTAGATGGGCAAAGAGTGGAAACCCTGGAAATTGAGAAATAGCTATAGTGTCAGCAGAAGTAAGTTTGTTTTGGAATAAACATCCTAACTTTGGAGTTCAAATAAACTGCATTTGCATTTACAGGTTGACAAAATGCTATAAACATCAAAATTTGAGACCTAGTTGGCTCATATCTGCTATTTTTCCAAACAGAAAATTCCTAACAGTTGAAGCATCCTGAATGGATGTTTCAGCAAGGATTTCTGATTCAGATATGTTAAGGAGATGTCTCTCTACAATAACTCGTCCTAGATATTGAGTATTGTGGAGGTATTACCTCAAAAGGTATTTCCTCAATGGCTTTTGACATGAAGAGAAGTTCACTGTCTTGTTCATTATGTTTTGATAATACGGTTTTCAGGTCTTAATTTCTTTACAGACTTTAAAAAGCCAGCAAGCCCCTATAAGCACTTTTGAATAAAAAAAGGAAGAGATCTATTAGATAGTTAAGTTTATGACAGAGAATGTAAAATTAGAAATGAAGGTACAGAATTAGTAACAGATGGTGACTTTATGCTTCCAGCATCAATTATACATGGTCATTTATTGGATATTTTCTTCATTGGAGTTTGGGGTTCCATAAGGAAAATAAATCAATAAAGAAATCAGTGCTTACTAACCATATCTAAAATGGTGTCCTACACTAGGAACATGCTACATTATCAGAAGCTGAGGATAGCAAATCATTGCCAGGGTTTCATAGGTATTATATTCAAACACCAGTACCAAACAATGTCCACAATATCTGTTGAGGACATCTAATACTGGTAATACTTCAACTGATCAACCAACTGATCCATAAGGGAACTATCCCAGGGTCTTTCATCTGCAGGAATTAAGCTAAAGTACTGTACTGCAGAGATCTAGGTACCACTCAACTACAAGGACCATGTGAGTGGTCATTTAGATCCAAAACAAGGTAAGCTTCACATGGAGAACCTTCCCTAGGAAGTCCTATCAGCAAAAATGAGAATCCATATCAAAGAGCAGCATGGAATTTATCAAATATACTTTCTTTGAAGATGTTAAATCTAATCTAGATATGGTTAATACTATGAATATGTGTACTTGGAGTTTCAGTATGCTTTTCCTAAGGTGCCAAATAAGAGACTTCTTATTAAGATGGTATAAGTTGAGCAGGTGATAAGCTTGTTCAGTTGGTTTGGTGGTGGACCCACAAGGTTGTTACTAATGGAATGAAGTCACAGTGGATTAATCCTCTGGCTACAGGTACGTCAAAGTGTGCAAGTTATGACCTTTTTTTTTTATAATAATTATTATTACAGAGTTATGTTTAAAATTTGATTAAATTATTATCAAAGTATATCAATAAACTTAGCTTCAAAACATAGTTCATAAATCAAATTGTAGTACAAGTTCTAGCTTGTTAATTTCAAAATTAAATATTTAAGTAAATTGTCAGTCTTTCATCTTCTGCACCATGTGACAATTATTACTTCCAAATTGCCCATTTTAGGTATTCTTAATATCTTTATATGATGTCCCAAGTTTCACACCAATTACACGTAAACTAAACTTGTAGCCTCCAATATTCTTGCATTATGGAGATGTAAACCAGAAAGTAAAATGTACATGCTTCACTCTCCTAACACATTTTTACTGTAACATTTATAACCAATAGAAAGACAAGGTTTCATATTACACTTTAGTGATTTACATATAAAGCTAACTTGTTCTAATAATAGGTTATGAATTATTTAGCCTAAAGATTCATCATTGTGGCTATTGACAAGGTCACCTCGATCAGGTAAAGGAATTATTTTAATCCACTTATAGTTTTGTTAGAAAAACAGTTAAATTATAATAGTTTTGGTCATTGTTTTTGTGTGTTAATATTTTGGGTTCTTAATTTGATATATGAAATAACTAAAAACTATTATATATATACTACTACCATTGTTACCAAAAAGTAGGGTTAGGTTACATTGGAGGCTGATAGCAAAAAAACAGAAAATGGATATAAGTACTATATTTCTCGTTTCTTATGCATATGTTTTGTTTTTATAAAAGTAACTAAAATATAAAAATCAGAAACTAATTAGGTAAGATAAGAAAACAAATGGAAAAAATTAAGTAAAACATGTCTTAGAGATTTATGATGCAAGTTGCTAGTGTGTTATCTAATTCAATAATTTTTTGCCATAATTTCAGCCATGCACTTAACGAGTGATTTATAGTTTTATTATACAAGATTTAGCAATTAAGACTCATTTCAAAAAGCAATAAAATAAGAAAAAATTGAATGCAAAAAAAAGGTAAAGTTGTTAAAGATAAATAATTGATTAATGTTACAAATGTTAATGTTACAAGTGATATATCTCATAGTTCTGTGCTAGAGGCTTTGCTATTTCTAATTTCCATAAACGACACTTATAATGGAGTAACCAATAAATCTAGGTTTTCAGATTAATCGTTGTATTAAGTTGTACAGATGATGCTGTAGTTTTATACAGAGTTCAAATATCTGGTGAGCTTACTAACACCTGGAAGATGCCTCTTATCTTCATATATGCAATGTTATGTAGGCACATTTTGTTAAACAAGACCAATGTCTGTAGGTTTACTTTCTTCTTAGAATTCTTCTCAAGAAGTCGAT